TTTATTCCTAAAATTACATCAAAGTCTCCCGTGTCAATCTCTATTAGGTCACAACTTAATTTCCTATCTGTTATATTTATGATACAAGCTTTGTATATAACCTCTCCTAATAGTGTCATACTCCCATGAGTAGACACAAATAATACAGAATCAAGTTCTTTTAGGTAATACATTCAAGTTTGGTATAAAAACATGTGAGAAAAATGAATGTGAGGCACCAGTATCAATCAAAATATGTACAAGATGATTACAGATAGTGTATGTACTTTGTATCACGTCTAGGTTGGCTTCTGCATCTTGCTGAGTGAGGTTGTAATCTCTGCCCCAGATAGGAGGTCAGGTCTGGTTCTGATTCATCGGGCACTCTCTCGTGTAATACTGGCACTCCCATATATACGACAAGTATTGTTGAGGTGATAACAAGGTCGATTCCCATGATCCTTGTCACAGTGCTGACAAGTCCTACCGCATCCTATTGTTGGAATATGAGGAGGAGTCTGAGTCACTGGTCTAGGTCTCTTGTTATGTTGAACAGGTGCAGTGAGTGCTGGTATGCAGTGTGAAATCGGGGACCTGAGGTTCCCCACTGCTGGAGAAAAAATACGAAGGTTCCTCTCTACTAGTTGTGCCTTGACCAGAACGGCTAAGTAAGTATCGAGCTCGAACACATACAGCTGTTGTTTAATCTCAAGATGGAGACCCCACTTAAACTACCTTCATCCATCATGCCCTCAGGGGAATACCGGCACAACTCTAAGAGCTTTCAGGCATACTCTGATACAGTCATATTATCTTGGACTAGATATGCAAATTTCATTTTCTTCAAATGTCGAAGATGTTTTAAGAGGTACTCTGCATTGAAGGCCATCAGGTACTGTTCCTAAGTGACTGGAACAGGCAGGGTGGTCTGCTTGAGCTACTACCAGTGACCTACCTCTCTCACTAGTATGTAGGTGGCAAGTATAATTCTATGTTTTGGAATCACCCCAAGAGTCATGAAAGTCTTCTCTATCTTAGCTAACTAGTACTCGACCTCTTCAAAGGATGATGCCCCTGCAAAAGTAGATGAGTTTAGTCTTTTATACATCTCAATGTAGCCTGGATCTATTATGGGTGGAACTGAGTCCTGTGGAAGAGGGACTGAATTATGCTGGGAAGGGATCAGATGGCCCTGTGGTGGTACTGGATGATACGATGAAGGCACCAGATTGTACTGTGGTGGTGCCGGATGATGCGATGGGGGAACCGAACTATATTGTGGTGGTGCAAGATGGTACTGTAGAGGAGCAAGGTTATACCGAGGTTGCTTAGGATCCTTCCACTGTAGGGGTGGCTCAAACTGTGGCAGTGGGGGATGGTCAAGTAGCTCTCTCCTTTCCTCTCGGGCTTGTTGGGCAGCAATGAGTCTCTCCAGCATTTTAAAAAGTTGGTCAACATCCTCTCAAAGCGAACACTCCCGGACTGCTCGGTTTAGTGGGGTCTTCCTCTTCTCATATATTTGTACCTACATTTCATAAAGAATGGTCAAGCGATAATTCATTTTTTTTATGTTTCCTTAGGTTTTTGTGTAAGAAATGGTTTCGAAGAAAGCGACTCTGATACCAACTGTAAAAGTTTGGAACTTAAATGGAAATAAAATCATAAATTAAATACAGAAGCAAAATAATAGAGTTTAGAGTTTACATTCCTTACACAATAATTTATAATGCCCAATAGAGTTACGGGAATGTTCATTCTAAAAGAATAAACAAAAATCAAATAAATAAACAAAAGACAAATAACTGAGCATTTTAGGACAATCTTCACTAGCTTTTAAAGGGAGTACAGGTGGTGAACTATTCACAACCCTCTTGTTGATCGGGATTTGAATCTTAGTTCTTTTGATTTTAAATAGTTAACGAAAGGGTGAGCTACACTACCTTAGTAAAAATATCACACTACACACCGATATAAAAACTGAAGGTTGGTAAAAATTATAAAAATAACCAATGAAGCTCTTGATTTAAGTAAATTCATTTATCATAAGGAAACTATTTATTACATATATTTACCGTTGCGAGATTTCAAAATCGACATATAGAGACTAACTCAACTAACATTATAATCTCCTATTTAAGTGAGCAAGAACAACAACTTTCCTTTTTTATTTGCCTACTAGTATCCTTGGGGTTCATAGGGATATCCCACTATGCATGAATCACTATCCAACATTATCAACTAACCGGCCATCTCCACACCCCGTTTGGTATGAGTGCCAAAAATATCATCGTTCATTATCCCGTTCGGTGTTAGGGTGAATCGGACTATCCCCATACCCCGTTCGGTATGAGTGCCAAAAATCCTATTCATCGATATCCCGTCCAATATGAGGCAACATTTACAGTAGGATTTTCTATGTACTCGGTCCGTCCATCATCTCCTAAGATATCCAATAAGACAAACATTCATTAATTCACATAACCAAGCAATTTTCCATTTGCATATTAATTTTCAATTTCATAAATTAACGGTAAATCATGCAAGACAAATAATAACTATACATCAAGGAAGCACAACTGAATCATTTAACAATTCCAGTATATTCTCATGTATTTAAAGCTGTAAAAGTAAACAATCGGTTACACAAGACAAACAAATAAATAACTAATCGGTTCCGGCTCTATTAGTAATCTATAATTATTCTCAAAAAATTTTAAATTACAAAAATACCATATTATCGATTATTAAGCTTCAATTCCATAACATAGAATAAGATGAGGGATTCTTACCCAAATCGATGTCCAAAATACCGAACTTTTACTGGGTCTACTGGCGGTTCCCAAGTTTTTTGAATTTTTATGTATAGATTAAAACACGTTTCACGTCCCTAAAAATACCATAGGAATTCAAAATCGGTTAAAAAAAAAAACTTCTCGACCAATTTCAAGGCTCCGGCACGGCGGCACCGCTGTGCTCCGGCGACGACACCATCGCCCACGGTGGCAGTTTGCCTTAGCCTAGCCGTTTTCAGCCGGTTTTATACATATCCCTACGAAAAAATACGTTATGGGGCCTCGGTTGGTCGAAAAAATTAAAAAATAAAAACCTACCAGAAGTGGGATTTTCCGAGTGCAACGGCTCCGTTGGCTCACCTTCGCGGCTGAGAGTTTTTCTTTGGTCAACCTGTAGAAAATAGAACGATGGATACAACGAGAATGGGCTCATCGGAGGCTGTTGTGGGTTTTGTCCGTGGCGGCACTGCCGGACTTTGCCCGCAGTTTTCGGCTCACCCACTATTCATTTTGCTCCGATTTAGCCATGAGGGTGCTTAGAATCAAATTTTGAGAGAGTAGGAGAATTTTTACCTTTTTGGCAATCGGAGGTGGCTCCGGTGCGGCGGTAGGCGACGGTCGCTCCCTTCTCTGATGACTGGTTTTTCTTCTTTGGCGGGAAGCTGACAGTTAGGGTTCAGGTTCGGTATTATGCGAAATATTTATACCCATCTCGCGTTAATCTGGGTCGTTAATCGCGTTTGATGTTGACTGTTCGATCGTGTTTAAAGAGAAAATAAATATGAACCATTTATCGCGATTTGATCTCGACCATCCAATCGCGTTTAAGAGAGAATGAATCAAGATTATTCATCACGTTTGATCGCGACCGTTCGATCGCGCCTAAGGAAAGAACAGATCCGGACCGTCCACGCGCGCGAAAACTCTTCTGGGTCGTCCGATTGTGAGGCACGCGGATCGCTAGTGTGGCCTCCCGTGTGGCACCGAGTTAGTGTGTCTTGCCATGTGGCGCGCTCTGCTTCGTCGAGGCTACTAACTGTGCAGTCATTCGTGGCAAAATTTTCTTTAATTGTGTTCTGACCCCCAGTTTTCGATTTTTCTTTCAAAAATATCATATGAATCCAAATTTTCACTCATTTTTTCCAAAATTATTTTCAATTTCATTCTCAATCTATTTTTTCTATAATTCCACATTAAATTAAAATTTATTAATTTTAAAAATAGATTTTTATATATTTTTTTAATGTTAAAATTAATCCTGCCCCAAATTCTGGATCCAGATATTACAATAATTGCATCATTTTCGAATGATATTTAGTTCTAATTTTCTGTTACTTTTTATTTTTAAAAAATATACTGAATTCAATAAAAAAATTAGTAAATTAACTTCCATATCAAAATTTCGTACCAAAAGAAAATAAAGATTTTTTTTTTTAATGCAGATGATTATCTTAATTAAAAAAATAATTACTTTGTAATGAAATTTTAGGATTTAGTCTAAACATGTTAATCTCCGGTCAGTTTTCTTGTTTTAGAATCTATCCCAATTAATTTTGATGATAAACTACAATAAAATTATATATATATATATATATATAATAAAGATAAATAACTTTCCAATAAATTAAGAGATTATATGCATAATCAAATTATATAGGTCACGAAAATAATCCATTTATACAAAATCAAATTATATACACTTTGTTAGTGTTAAATACATATCTGGCCCATTTTTCCACACTAAATAATTCTAAAAAGATATTCTCTTACATTAATTTGATTCATTCAGTATATATACATATATTTTAAACTATATATTTTTTAAACGAAATGAATTGTTTTTTTTTTAATTAATGCATAATCCACATATTAAGCTCTAAAACTCAGATAATTGAAAATAAATCTTTTTATATTATTGTACGTAAAATTTTGTTTAAGAAAACTAGTATATGTATACTCTGGTTGTTAATTTGTTGTCGATAAATGCTATTAAACATATTGATTATGAAAATTATTAGCTCATTATGCAAAATATTATTATAATATATTTAACGATGCAAAATAAATTGTTTCATACTGAAGCTTAAATATTAAATGAAAAATATAAAAATAGAGGATTAAATTTTCTTAATTAGAATATAAAAAAAATAAGCTTATAGAAGTAGCAGCCCAATTGTACGGACTTTTTTTGTCCTCGAACAGCCCATATTGTTAATGGCCTGTCTTCCTTCAACCTGTGACTGAGAGATTCTTGTGGGGTTTGGGGGTGTCAAAAATTTTCTGCTCTTGGTTGCCGGCTTTACATAAATTATTGATTTATAGGGTATTCTATAGTCTAGTTTTCTGATACTTTGCCCCGTATTTAATGGCGAAACCGGTTTCACGGCCATTTAGTTTGTGACATTTAGGCTTTCTGTAAGATTTTGATGTATAAAACCTAACTGGGGGTGCTAGGCATGAGATCTTGCATTGGATGGCGTCGTTTACTCTTTCTTACTCCTTTAGTTTTTATTGTTCTTCATCTATTATCTGGTAAATTTCCTACTGAATAATGCTTGTCAATGATTTATTTGTTTTCCTTTTGAATTTTCACTGTTTCCTTGTTAAGCTCGCGAGAATTTTTTGCGTGTTTTCAGTATCGGAATTGCACAGAGATGCAAGTAGAGATGATCTGCCTAATAAACGCAACAAAAAATTCGATCATCTGGTTATTGGACCTGCTGCTGGACAAGGCTTGCCGAATCGGCTGCAATGCCAAGGTTTCTGCCTTCTCCTTTAACTGAGTGATTACAATTCCAAGAATTTTGTAGGTCGCATTTTCCATTTCTGTATAGTAGATGCTCTGTTATAGTGCATTTCTTCATTTCGTGATTATACTTTATACCGTTGTTCTCCTGTATCCATTTTCTCCGTTTCCATGTTGAACAAAATCCACCCAGGGGCGATGATGCTAAGCCTCACAAGCTGTTGTTATGAGGCACGAGAGAATCGATAGATGTGAAAATGATATTGCACCAGATACCCACTTGTGCAGATTTCCCTATTACTGGTGATGGGGGTATAAATGAGGGTGCCTTTCTATATTTATTTAGCCTTTTCCTTCAACAGTTGCCTTGATAGTTGGAAGCTCGAATATGCATTTGCCCTATTGACTCTTTAAAACAACGGCATCCTTGACATAAGTTGTGTCTTGCAGGCTGGCTGTTTATTAGCATTGGATATAGATAAAGCCTTTTGTATTTTTCACTATATTATTTGTCCATAAATTATAATATTTGCTGCTGGTAACTTCATACTACTGTATGCTTATGTAAATATAGAATATTCTAAGATGTCTAAAAGTGACTTAATACTTGTTGAGTGAAGGTGGTGTCTTTGTTCTTATTTCTGTGTCTATTGCAGGTACCAAAGCTCTCAACAAAACTCACTTGCCCTCTTCTAATTTATCCTATAAGGGAGATAGTGTAGCCTTCGTCACGGTCTTCACCGTTTATAACACTTCGCTTGATAGTCATCCTGATGGTAGATCTGTGAACTTGATTAAGGTTGGGAATGCTTCATACAGTAAGACAGAGAGGTCGATGGCCATTTTGAATGTCTTCATTAACTTCATTCAGGTTACTACTCAGTGTGCCCTATGCAGTTCACTTATTTAGTATCTATGAAATGTAATCTTGAAAACACAATAAACTCTGTAGCTTTAGAATGGAAATATATGTATGTGTGTATGTGCAAATTTTGCTTTATCTTGAACGACACATTAATATATTCTTAATATATAGGTATTCAGAAAATTGAATCTGGAAATGACTTTCTTCTGGACTTAATTGAATGTAGTGTAAAAGTAATCTGGAAATGACTTTATTGAGTAACTCTTGCAAAAATTGCAAATTTTCAGAAATCAATGCCTCAAAGCAACGTTATCATATTAACTGATCCGGCATCAGATCTCTCAATTCGCAGAAACAGGGTGACTGTAATGCCCATTAAGGGTGAATATTCACGAGACAAGTTGATGCTTCAGAGAATCAGGTCTTACATTGTAAGAGCAAATCGCATTAATAGGTAGAAAACTTTTATGGTTCAATTATAACTATGTAGTCTATGTTGCTTCGTCCACACACATTCTTTTCCCCATCAAAACTCTGTTCTCAAATTTTTTGTTTCACTTCCCCTTACCTCTTATTTCCTCTTTTGCCTGTAGAATTCTAGATTTGATCTGGTTTTGCATCTTGTTCGTCCATTTCCACTGCTGGAATTTAGATGCAATTGTCCTTTTGCCTTCATATTGAAATTGATGATTCCTGACTTCCTTGCACTTTTTCCATTTCCAACTGAAACTATCGTCATACTGAATTATGTTTCGTCAGTTAAATAAATTTGAGAAATTTTATGATATTATATTGTTGTACAAATCAGTGTTATTATATTTCTATTAAATAAAAAAAAATTTAACTCTGCTTTTGTTAAATAATCATGTTAAGATGAAGCTTCGGATGAAGCTTTCTTGAGATGAATCATATCTTTCTTAAATTATATTTGTGGACCTTTCTTGAGATGTTAAGATGAATCATATTTTGTTAAATTATATTTGCAGACCTTTCTTGAGATGAAGCTTGAGGAGCACTCTAAAAGGCAGGAGCATATAACCAATTATATTTTCAGCGACTCAGATATATCCGTGGTTGATGACCTGGGACAGATATTTTACAAATATCCGAATTTTCATTTGGCTCTCACCTTCAGGAACAACAAAGATCAACCTCTAAATTCAGGATTTATAGCAATAAGGGGCACGCCTGACGGAATTTTAAGGTGTGTAGTTTTCCTTTTTGTGTCATTCATGTTTGTGCTGTGTGTTTTAGTTTTGTTTCTGAGTAGATATGAGGAACAATCTTAAAGAGACCGGTTCTTTGTGGAAAAAGTTATCGATAGAGGCCAATAACTGGGATAAAGTATAATGATCTTTAAATGTAGGATTCTTTAACACTAACCTTAATCGATTAATAGATCAGTTGGCGCAGGAGAAAGGATTGAGGGGAGACATGTTTGCTGCCTGTCTTTTGATTATCTTGTGACCATACTAACATGAAATTTTGCTACTGGTAAATGGAATTGGCTGAAGGGCAAAGAATTTTCTTCAAGAAGTATTAAGAGCTTACACTTCCAAGTACATGACAGCTTCCCGTATGCTTGGAGATCAGTTAGCTCTTACCTGGGTTGTCAAGTCCAATCCTTCTTTTGATGGAAAGAGATTTACTAAGCCAGAGCCCTTCCTAGATGAAATTGCTGGTGCTTCAGTGCTGTTTTTACCATGTGCAAAATATAACTGGACACCCCCTGAGGGTGCAGGCCAGTTTCATGGGATGCCCTTGGATGTTAAGGTACACTTGGATATCTGAAGTGCCTCATAATAGTGCTGATGACAATTTGGAATTCTCTTTTAATGGATGAGATTACTTCTGATCTGGTGACATGTTCGACAAGTTAGTCTGGACTTTTCATTTATATCAATTTTTTGTTTGCACTTGAGTGCAGGTTGTTCATTTTAAGGGATCAAGGAAACGCCTAATGCTTGAGTCCTGGAATTTCTTCAACTCTACTTCCAACATTTCAGATATGTTGTGCCTAATTTTAAAGAGTGGAAGAACAAAATATGATTTCTGAATACGGGATATAGCTCAGCAAGCACCGTATACACTCCCAAGTATGTTCTTGATTCATTTTAAAGGAACAAGGTGGAGAGAAATTTCTCTGATTCGACGAGCTTAGCCTGCTCTAATTGAAGTTGATTGATATGAAAGCTCATGCGCCCACCTTTTGATACAAGTTGGATACATCTGGTGGAAGTAGGAAGATAGAGATGAATGAATTCATGTAATTTGATTACTTTGAACAATATAGAGGATTCTGACCGGATCTCTTAATGCTACGAATCAACATTCGGTCTGTTTTTTTTTTTTTGTTTTTTTCCTTTTCTTTTTTCAATTAACTCTTACTTGTCCATGAGTTCAGTTCAGGTTCAATTAACTCTTGCATGATCTCAAGGGAAATTGTTATAGGACGTTTTAACACTTGACTTCACATGGGTTTTCATGTTGTGTCCTTCATTATTTTCATTAAAAGAGATTTACCAAAAGGCAGAGAAAGACACGCCAAAGTAGAAATTGCCGGAGATTCAATGTTACTTTTATCAATTGATATGTATATATAACTCCGACTCTTCTCGTAAATCACAAGGCTGGTCAAGGGAGCTTGTAATGGGAAACTAGAGTCAATGATCTGCCATACATATAGATAAAGATGGCCACATTTGCCAATATAAACTATAGGTCTCTACCAGCTGAGCTTGGATTTTGCTGAATAATAATGTAAAAGCAAAAACAATGGTGAAATTAAGCTTTTACTTTTATCTTCTCTATTCAGAACAAGGCAACACCTGCCAATCTGATCATGCCTCCTCACTAAGTTCCACTATCTAACCTCCATACTCCGGAGCCATGCAGTAAAACCAGGGCAAATATTTTAGATAGTGCAGAATTTCAGATTCAAATGTCAAGTCTCAAGATCATGTAAATAGAAAATTTACATGGTTTGATCAAGATGATCTACCTGCAAAAGGGATGAATCCGGATTCTCCATGAAAAAGTTTAAAAAATTACCATACATTTCTCTCCACCTCTCAAACTCTAGCCTCAATTCACCCAATCTAACAAAGTAGCAAAAGAAAATTAGTTATGAAGATAATTTTACATCAAAATATTCTAGTTATTAGTATCTAATCTTGCATGTCAAGATCCACTATGACATGGGATAAAACAAAGGCAAGTAAACCATGGGCATAAAACACAAAGCCTTCACAAGTAACATCTACTGCAATCCATCCAAAGCAAAAATGAAAAACAAAGCCAAATTACCGTGTGCTTTTTTATTGAAATTGCACACAAGTAATACACGTCCATCCATTAGCATATATGCTCTACCAGTCATGTATTCTACAATGCCGAGAGTACAACAATTATACTCCAAAGATTACATCTTGGAAGCAAGCAACCCAGAGAAACAATGTCCATCAATGGACACCATCTTCCTCAATTATATTGTATCATCAAAAAGATATGAGAAAAAGAAACAATAATTGGGCCATCCAAACAGAAATGCTTAAGGAAAAAATAACCATTCACATGAATCACAGTGAACATTAGGATTCCTACCACAACAATTGAAAGAATGTATATCACCCGGAAGCCTTATTGCCATTGGAATAGAAACTTAGGTACCAGCGGACAAATTTCTTCAGTCCGGTCTGCAAATCCGTGGTGGGTTTATACCCAAGCTCCCTCTGAGCATAGCTAATATTAGCATGAGTAAACTGAACATCTCCATTTCTAGGCAACTTCATAATATTCCTCTTTGCCTTAACTTTCAGTAGCCTTTCCAAGATTGACACAAGCTCATTAACCGGCACAGGGGAAGTATTACCTAAATTGAACACCCTTAATTGAGCTGGCCCTTTCTTCTTCCCCCCACTCCCAGTACTCTTCTCTGCAGTATCTAATGAAGCCAGACACCCCTTCACAATATCATCAATGTATGTAAAGTCCCTAGCCACAGTCCCATGGTTAGCTGCCTCAAATATTGGTATTGCTTTCCCATCAAGAATATCCCTTGTGAAGAAGAAATACGCCATGTCTGGCCTCCCCCAAGGACCATAAACAGTGAAGAACCTCAACCCAGTAAGGGAAAGCCCGTAGATATGATTATAAGTATGTGCAATTTCCTCACCGGCCTTTTTAGTAGCAGCATATAAACTAGCAGGCTGATCAGTTCTGTCCTTTTCAGAGAAAGGTACCTTGGTATTAAGCCCGTAAACCGAGCTTGAAGATGCCCAGACGATTGCAGGTTGTGGGTTGACATCTTTGCAAACCTCAAGCAAATTGACAAGACCAGCAATGTTACTATGAACATAAGAAAGAGGATTTTCCATGGCGTACCTCACGCCAGCTTGAGCAGCCAAATGCATCACATGGGTAAATTGCACAACCTCAAAAAGCTTCCTCAACAAGGCGGCGTCATTGATATCTCCTTCAACGATGAAGACTCCAGTGCGCTCCAAAAGCGCTTGGCGAGCTCGCTTCAGTGACTGGTCGTAGTAATCATTAAAGTTATCGATCCCAAGAACACCGTCTCCTCGGCGTTTAAGGGCGGATGAAACATGAGTACCCACGAACCCGGCGGCTCCGGTGACGAGGACAGATATACCATTACGGGAGCGGATGCGGGCGGAGGACCTGATCCTTTTTTCCCAGGAGGATCCTCCCCAGTAATAGTTGCGGAGAGAGCGGCGAGAGGGATCGGAAGGGAGGGGATTAGAGGAAGGAGATCGAAAGAAGAAGATCAAGATCAGACCCAAGAAGATAACCGACCAGAATGTGAGTTTAGCGAGAGAAGAATGCCACCTCAATCGGTTTAAGTAGGGGGATTTGTCCATCTTGAACTTGCCGGGAGTTGAAGGAATGTGGTCGAGATGAGACATTTGCTTCAGCTGGGACATTTCTCTGGACAGTGACGGAAACTGAACGGATTTGGTTTCTCGATTATTAATGTTTCTAGGAAGAATCTAGCTCAGCACGTTAGGGTTAGGGCTTGAAGAAATGGGTACTGATTTCTTCCTGGTTTCCAACTCTTGTCTGATAGTTGTGTGGTGATGCTGATCTTTAAGATAAGAAAAAGTGCTCTCTGAACTTTCACCTCCCCGCAGACATGGGAATCCTCTTGTTTCTTGGAGAGCTGAGTTGATGTTGACCGTCTCTCCTTTGATCTGTAAAGCTTCAAAATTGAAAGAAACTAAAATCAAGATTTGATTTTACTGAGAAATGAGTACATGGGAGGGAGAGAGAAATTGTAAAATTGGGCAATGAGGGAGATGAAATCAGAAATCAGAAAGAAGAGTAAAAAAGACAGTTAATTAATCATCTAATTGACTTGTTTTGAAAAATCAAATCAAATGCAGGTGAAGGTGGGCTGTAAAGATTACATCTTTAGATTTATAGCAACACGGGGAGCTAAATCTTCCATGAGCAGACACAATTCTTGATTGGTTTTCCTCCCCTAATTTTGGGGCCTGCAAATAGAAATCAGGCTCCTTTATTTAGGGTTAGGGATTTGAGGCAGATCAATCCTAGTCTCCACACCATTAAAATGAAAAGCTGGCAGATATTTGTGGGGATTTGAAACATCAGGTTGACTCATTAGCTTGAGACTCTTAATGATGATTAGGGATAAATTAAACCTAAATTTTCTATAATCAGATTATTATTATTATAGCATTTAGGCTTAATTTTGACTCTACAAGTACAAATGTACGACCCCTTTCAATTACTTGAGATTATGATGGGATAAAGAAATTTATTATTATTATTATTTTTCTATCAAATGAATTTTTTGAAAAAAAAAAAAATACATTAAAATAAATAAGATTTTATTGATGGAATAACTCAAAATTACAAAAGGATAAAAACAAAGAAAATAAATTTACCATTTTGTATATCTATATATACATACAGTTTTCTAAAATTTATTTGATAAAATAATTCATATTTTTAAACGCATCCAATTTAATTAAATAACTTGCATTAATAAGCACATTTCCCACGTGTTAATAATTATTCTGAATATTAAAAAATTTGCATATCTGGCTCCAGATCAAACCTCAACAAGTTGGTATTGGTGTGTGTGAGATTTGATGCTATGTACAAACATAATATATTCTATATATATATATATATATATGTACGTATCTGCAGTATATATATATATATATATATACACACACACATGTTGATCAAGTTATAGAAGATGGTGATTATTAAGGAGTAACTCATCAATTTCATGTTCATAAATAGATTAATTTTGTTTTACATTTTAAAAAATATATATTCTTATTATTTTATGTATATCACATAATAATTATTTGACCAACATTTAACTTATTAAAACAAAATTTATATCGCTTTTATCTAACTTGATTAATAATTTTATATCTATATATCATATAAAAATTTATAACTATACACATTATCCCAAAGGAAATCTATAGATTAGGGTAACCATCGTTGTGTGATGTGGGGTGCATAAAACTAGAATTAATTTTCAAAGAACCTAGAATATGTACACACATATATATATATATATATATATATATTACTTCATTTGAAATTTCATATTAAAGAAGAGTGATCTTGAAGAAATTACAAATTTTGAGACCCCATAAAATTTCTCATTTCCACCTTCACAACAACTTTTTATTTATTGAGACACTTACCCATATTAAATTTAATTATTTTTAATTTTTAGAATTAATTTTTGGATTGAAAATTGAATTTTCAGATAAAAGAAAAATAGTAATAATAATAAATACACCAATAGATACAAAGCTCTCTCCCATGTGATAATTTAATTTTAAAAGAAAAACGATAAAAAAAAATAAATAAATAACTCAGCACCATGTGACGTGCATTTCCAATTACAATACCTCGCATCTGGACGAGTAATTATACAATTAATATCATTAATCAATTTATTAATAAAAATATGAAAATACAAAATAATTCTCATTATTTAGATAAAATATTCATTAAATATATTTTCTATATTTTATAAAAAAAAAAAAAAAAAATTAATTGAAGCCCAATTGGGTTCTCTATTCCATTCATGGGATAGCAATCAAAATTTACCCAAATGATATAACACTTACTAAAAAACCAATTGATAAAACACCCAACTTTGGCAAAGATAAAATAATCACCATCCATACAAGCCACAAGGCCAAACAAGTACAAGATAACCTACATTTTTACTTTTTTCTGCTGTGGAACTAAGCAAGCTCAGTTCCCATATTGATTCAATGCTTTGTCACTCTCTCAAGGACTTCAAAGTAGTCGGGGAAAGTTTTCCGAGTGCAACCGGGATCCTTGATGGTGACCGGAACATCAGCACAGGCAGCGAGAGAGAAAGCCATGGCCATTCGGTGATCATCATATGTGTCAATTGCTGCCACGTTGAGCTTCTCTGGCGGAGTGATCACACAGTAATCTGGTCCTTCTTTGACTGTTGCTCCTAGCTGGAAAAGTCGAAGCACAAGGCAAAATGTAAGCAAACAAAATAGATGGCTATCAAGTAATGAGTATAGCCAATGGAGTTTACCTTCCTCAGTTCTGTGCAAATTGCAATCATCCTTTCTGTCTCTTTCACTCTCCAACTTGCCACTGGATAATAGCAAGAAACAAGAAATTAGTTTGTAGTCATTTATGAAGAAGGATCAATCATGAGTATATCTGTCTACCTTTATTAATCACACATGTAAAGACCGAGTAGGAAAATGACATAATTTAACAAGATGAGCATGAAAATTCAGCTTCAAAAGTTAAAAGACTTCTCAACCAGAAAAAGGGGGTCCCTGGCTTTTTTCTGAAAAGAATTCAATATTTAATATTGGGTTTCTCGCAAACAAAAAGGTCAGATTGTCGGAGAACAAATACACCCTTGCGATGTTTGTTCCATAGGAATTATCAGTTTTAGACAAAAACAGTGCAACAAGACCCAAGATTCCTCATACCAAGTTGAATTAAGTGCCACTTTACGTCAGAGAAGAGCTAACGCATCCCATGCGGAATGACTATGCTCCCATTCACAATGAAAACCCTAATTGTAGTTTCATTCCTCATGTGGCAGTGGGTGCTCCAATCTTCCTACCTACTGTTCTATACAACAAAATATGAAAAACACTCAATCAAAACAAAGATTGAACTATACCATCTCTTATAGCAGTGGGACCATCAGCAAATAGTGCAACTACTGCAAGAGTCATAGCAACATCTGGCATTTTGTTCATGTTAACATCAATAGCCTTTAAGTGCTTCCTTCCATAAGCTTCCCTTGATGGTCCGGTGACAGTAACACTGTTTTCTGTCCAGGTAACTTTAGCACCCATTTTCTCAAGTACTGTGGCGAATTTTACATCTCCCTTAACCAAAAGAAAAAGCAAGTGAAAATGTGAGTTCCCTTTCATGCATTCATAAGACAGATAATAAATCAGAACCTTCCCATATACGTAAAAGGTAAAATCTAGAAATCACTTTCCCTCTAAACGAATACACACATTCGAAAGTCAATTTTAAATGTCATAGAAACACGTAGGCATCCTAGAGCAATTATAAATTAGTTATGAATTTTATCTAAAATAATAATAATAAATAAATTAGTTATGAATTTAAATATTGAATTGCAAATTCAGAAGAAGATACATTTGTGAGATTAATGAAATACCTGTAAACTATTTGTCCCACAACCTTCAACGGTGACAGTCCCACCAGTAACTGCAGCTCCAGCTAGGAAGTAGCTAGCACTCGAGGCATCGCCTTCGACATACGCCTTACCAGGGGACCTGAGATTTATCTCATTATTGTCTTCATACCAATTACGTAACCAGAATCCACAAAGTGGTATAAAAACATATAAAAGAAACCTACTTGTACTTTTGACCTCCATGGATCAAGAATCGATCCCAGCTATCATTATGCTCTACAGTGACTCCAAATTGTTCCATCAACTTTATAGTCATTTCAACATATGGAACAGATATCAATTTATCAATTATCTCAATTTCCACATCCCCAAGGGCTAGAGGAGCTGCCATGAGCAAAGCAGTCAAGTATTGACTACTAATTGATCCAGAAAGTTTCACCTGCAAGTGGAAACATGATAAAAGTGATTCAAGAAAAAGGAATCTAGCAATCATGAACCACAATCCTCCTTTATGATCTATATATACAGACTTCTTATAATTTCTGTTTGTGAAACACATACAACTAAATGGCACCTTAGTTATCCAACAATGAAGACAATTGTAAACTTCAAGAAGATTTGAAGCTTTTGCTACAAAGAAATTCCAGTGGCTAAAAAATCCTCAATTATTATGTAGGCTTAGATGGGATATCGGTGCAGCTGTGCATAACTGTAAAATAACTGGAAAATAGGGTTCTTTTTTTTTAGGTAAATATGAAACAAAAGCTCACTTATCCTAGTCATTTACGTGGCTTATGGCTGGATATATTAACATGATAAGTTCTGAAAAATTGAGAGGACTTACCACTTGGATATTCATACACATCTGATACAACCATCAAAGAAAAAAATTACATCCAGGAAAACTATCAATCTTACCTTTCCCCCGGGAAGTCCACCTTTTCCAATCACGCGAACAGGGGGACAATTTGTGCCATGGACACAATCAACACCAGCACCAAGCTGCTTAAGACCAACAACCAAGTCACCTATTGGTCTCTCCCTCATTCGGGGCACGCCATCAAGTATGTAGCTGAAATTAATCAGATGGTACAAAAATGTAAAATAACAAGAAACAGGAGATGCAAGATACGTGCGTATCAATTGAGAATAGAATCATTCCTTTCCAGAGTCAGGAATAAAAGCAATATAGGACAAACCTTGCATTACCCCCTGCAGCAGTGAGAGCTGCTGTCAATGGGCGCATTGCTGTTCCGGCATTTCCAAGGAAAAGTTCAATTTCCTTCCCTTCCTTACCTACAGGAAATAGACCACCACAACCTTCCACAGTTGCCTGTTTAATTGCACCGTCTTCTACCAAATGGAGCCCTAACGTCCTTAATGCAACAAGCATGTGATGCACATCATCGCTGTTCAACAAATTGTCAACCACAGTTGTTCCCTAAACAGAGAAAGGCAAAGAACAATAAACACAATTGCAGAAGAACATAAATTTTAAGTTTTAGACCAGATCATAAGTCTACCCCTAGTATAACTCTTTTCTATTCTTCTTTGTTGTTCCTTATATAATCCAAAACAAAAGATGACAAGTATGACCTATAACCAAAAAAGAAAAAAAAAGGAATTTTTATTCTTAATCTGAATTACCAGCTAAACTTACATACGCAAGAAACTAAGTGCTAGCCACAGACAACGAAATTAAAATTTCAAACTTTTCAGAAAGATCAAGTTAATCTCGCAACAAATCAAAAACCAAATAGAAAACCCACCATTTAAAAAAGCAAAACTGTATAATCTCTCATTCAGCTACATTATCAAAACACCCAAAAAAACCCAATACAAGAGAATAGATTAAAGAATCATAAGATACCAACAAGCGAAAATCACACAAATACCTCAGATAGAGCAGCAAGAAGAAGAATCCGATTGGACAGGGACTTGGAACCCGGCAACTTAACCGTACCAGAGATTTCTCTGATGGGTTGCAGCACGATCTCCGATGCTCTCGAAGGCTTCTCCGCGGTCGCAACCGAAGCCATTACCCTGACCGGACTAATCCTGGCAGCACCGCCGACATTACAACTACTCGGCCTTTTCGATTTCTGCTTTAAACCCCATGAAGTTGAATACCTTTTTACCTGTGAAATCGAAGAAACAGAACAGATAGATTTGCGTTCATTTGGTGTTGATAGACGAGGGAAAACATGGGCGCTTTGAGCCCCATTACAGAATTTGCTAACTTGCGCCATTCTTGTTGCTCCTCTCACTCAAACTACGGCGAATAAAATTATTATTTTGAGAGGTTTGGTAAGATGTGTTCTTCTTCTTGTTGTTGTTGTGGTTGAATATTGTTTCTGTTTCGAGTTGATTGACGGGGTGTAGCGACTCACCCACCCACCCACCAAACTCCAAGCCTACCAGAACCAGTTGGGCGAGTTCAGTATTTATATCCCAAAAGTTGAAGCGCTGTGGAACTGTTGTACATTGTGCTGCGTGTAGTTGTACGTTGGATTTAATTGTAATTTTTGGGACAATTGAAAAGCCAAATTGGGGGTTGGTGGCATTTGAGGAGATGGGCAATTGCGCACGTTAAGCATTTTGCATTGCAGGGTCTGGTTTAATGTCTCTCTCACCTACCCAGACATGATTAGTCAGTAAATTCTGGTTTCCTATTCTTTTTTTGTCTTCAAAATGCCCTTTGAAAACTATAGTTCCTTTTCTTTTTTTCACTTTCCTATTATTTTAAACCAAAAAAAAAAAAAAGAGAGAGAGAATTACTTTAATTTGTCCCACACAAAATCCATTTTGCTTGATAAAATTGTGGGTATAAGCAAATTTTGCAGACTAAATATTAAAGGGAAATTGGGTA